TAATGCAATCAAACTTACAGCTAGATGAGTAGAAAGGAAGAAACAGATTTTATGTGGTTTTGCCAGCTGTTCTAGAAATCTGTCTGAGCTATTGCAAAATCTGTAAGACCTCCTGAGAGAAAGAATGAAACCATACATGTGTTTTTCTCATTTTGATTTGTTTGGGAGGATTTGGCCTTTTGCAACATAAGGGAAGAATCTGTGTGGTGATGGGATATGGTGGAAGGTGTGTGGAATTTCTTCTTGTTAGCTTTGTCACAAAAGTGGTGACAAAAAGGAGACTTTTAAGATATTATACTTACTTTCCTCTTTTTCCAAAGTTTTAGTATTTTTGAGTTTTTGTGTGCACGTGAGGAAGAACACTGCTGTGCCGTTGGCAGATGGATGGCTCTGTGAAAGAGAGGCTTTTCTACAGCTTCCTCTGTGGGCTGATCCTGTCTTACCCTGACTGTACTATTTTTTAGGGAGCTCAGACTCCAAACAAGGAATTTTTCCTTATAAGCAGCGCCTGATGGATTATTCAGACAATTAGGTGTGTTTACGTGTACTTAAAATTGATCCTGCATTTTTTGGTACTTGAGTTTAAGTAAAACAATTTGGCCTTTTTTGTTCCTGAAAATAGTCTCTGCCTCTGCTAATGCTGCTATGTTTTCATTGCTGTGCTAACTGGTTTTGAGACAGAAAAGCTGAAGAAATCACAGCTGCTTGGTCCAGTCAGTTGGTGTTTTTTGATGCTATTTCTTTTTTTTTCCTGTAGGAATATTCTATGTGCCAGGAATTCAGAGGCCATTTTAAGCTATGTTTGACTTTGCAGAGCTTCTAGTATACTTTCCTTTGTCCTCAGAAGCACACTTTGTTGGAAGTTCTGCACCAGCTTTTCTGTTGTTAAACCATCTTCACCAAGGCCAGATTATCTCTCTTTGTAAGAGTGAACTGACTTTCTGACTCACTTTGTTTGTTTATGTAAGGGGTGGTTCTTCATATATCTTGTCCTGATGAATGTAAAAAAGTGCAGGATTTGCTATTACCATGGGAAATTCTGTATTTCAATATTGCTGAATCAACCTAACCTTACTTTTGTCTCCTTAATTTATTGCCTTTTGTTAGTGGGGATACAAAACTGTTCAAGATGTATGTTTTTGAAAGTGTTGACTGAAGGTGAATAATAGCTTATTAGTGGGATCTTAGCCTGTAGACATATCCCAGGATGGTTTTGGCCTTCCTTGTTGCCAAGGCAAACTGTTGGCTTGTGTTTAGACCACTTTCTGCCTGGACCCCAGCTCTGTTTCAGGAAGTGTGCCCTGGGTGGCCAGTGCCCAATGTCTCCAAGGGATTTGTCCATCTCAGGTACAAAGAATTTGTGTTTGTCCTTACTTAATTCCATGAAATAGAGTGGCAGAAGTTTATAGGTACATTTTTGGAATGACCAGGCTATGTTGGTCAGGTTTTAATTGCAGCGGTTTAGGATCTTTTGGAGTTCTTCCTAAGTCATACTTGATTTTAAAGTGTTACTATAAATTGCCACAGAATATACAAATAATCCTAAATGTATTTTCAGATTTTGATAGGTATACTTCATTAGTAGAATAGAGGAACAGAAAAATATGTGATTTTTTTGTGTGTTTAGTTTATGTGTCACTGCTTCATAGAATCATAAGTTCACAGGATGATAGTTTGGGTTGGAAGGGATCTCAAAGGTTTTCTGCTTCCAGCCCCTGTTGTGGGCAGGGACATCCTCTATTAGGCCAGGTTTCTCAAAGCCCTGGATTTCAGGATTGAGGCATCCACAACTTCTCCAGGCAGCCTGTGTCAATCCCTCACAGTCAATTTCTTTCTTACATCTAATCTAAGCCTGTCCTCATTCAGTCTAAAGCCTCTCCCCCCTGTTCTATCACTACATGGTAAAAAGACACTCTCTCACTTTCTTTTAGACCCTCTTCAGGTACTGGAAGTCTGCTAGAAGGTCACAGAATCATGAAATGGATTTTGTTGGAAGGGGCCAACCACAGTGGATCCTGTGTTCCATTCTCCCTGCACAAGCAGGAATGTCCTGGAGGACATGGCACAGGATTGTGTCCAGGCAGTTCTTAAATTATGTCCAATGAGGGAGACTCCACAGCCTCTCTGGGCAATCTGCTCCAGTGCTCAGTCAGCCACAGAGTAAAGAAGTTCTTCCTCATGTTTAGGTAGAATTTCCTGTGCATCAGTTTCTGCCCATTGCCTCTTGTTCCACTACTCAGTGCCTCTGAGAAGAGCCTGGTCCATTGTCTGGATACCTCTCTTCAGATCCTGATAGATATTCATGAGGTCCCTTCTCACTTGTCTCTTCTCGAGGCTGAGCAGGCCCAGCTGCCTCAGCCTGTCCAGCACTCAGAGGTATTGGACACTGCCCAGATTTGTATCATCAGTGAATTTGCTAATCAGGCATCTGCCCCTTCATCCAACTCACGGATGAAGTTAAACAGTACAGCATTGAACCTGGAGGGACACTACTAGGGACAGGCCTCCAACTAGACTCTGTGACACTGATTGTAACCTTCTGGGATCTGTTGTTCAGCCAGTCCTTGCTCCACCTCACGGTCCACTCATCCAGCCCACATCCCTGAGTTCATGTAAGGAAATCTACTGAAGTCAAAGTAGACAATATCCATTGTTCTCCCTTCATCCCTCCAGGTGCTGGTTTCATTAAAGATGGCAATCAGGTTGGTCAAGGAGAATTTAATTGAGTGAATCCATGCTGACTATTCCTGATCACCCATGTGGATAGCCTTTCTGAATGAGGTGCTCCCATCACCTTTCCAGGGATCAAGGTGAGGCTGACTGGCTGGTAGTTTCCAGGGTCCTCCTTCTTTCCCTTGTTGAACACTAGGTTGACATTCGCTTTCTTCCATTGTGAGCAGCCTTGCAGTCATGTCTGCAGCACTTGTAGATGAATCCCATCAGGACATACGGACTTGTGGATGTCAAGTTTACATATGTGGTCTCTACCCCTATCTTCCTGGACCAAGGGAAAGTCTTCACTCCAGAATTGCCTTACCCATGTATCCTGGGTCAGAGAACCCTGAGGGCTGGTCTTATCAGTGAAGAATGAAACAAAGAAGACATTCAGTGAAATGTCATCTTCTGGCTTCTCTTCATTCTCTGTTACTAGGGTCCCTCCCTCCATTTAGCAACAGGACCACAAAATTCTAATTTTTCTTTGTTATTGTTATATTTGATGAAGTCCCTCTTGTTGTCTTTGACATCAATGGCCAGATTTAATTCAAGGTGGGCCTTGGCTTTCCTTGTGTCATTTCTACTTAGTTTTAACAGCCTCCCTTTATATTCATTACAAATGGCCAGATCCTGCTTCCATCTCCTGTGTATTTCCTGCTTATTCGTGATTAATGACAGGAGTTCCTTGTTTATCTGTGCAGGTCCCTAGCCCCATTTGCCCAATTTCTTGCTCATCAGGATGCATCATTCTTGTGCTTGATGAGGTTTGCACAGGCTCCCCTCTCAAGCCTGTCATGTTCTGTCTGGATGTCATCCCTTCCCTCTAGTGTCTTGACCACGTACAGCCCGGTGACATCACCAAGCTTGCTGAGGGTGTGCTCAGTTGCACTGTCCATGTCCCTGACAAAGATGTTAAACAATAGTGGTCCCAAAACCAACATCTGAGGAACACCAGCCCTGGTTTCCACTTGGACCTGAGTTTTGACTGAAACTCTTTGACTGACTCTTTGACTCTGTCAGGTCCCGTGGACTTCTGCACCATTAGGTTCCATGGACATGTGCACTTTCAGTTCCTGAGGATGGTTGCAAACCTGATCTTGTCCTATAGTCCTTGTCCTACAGTGTGTGTTTTCTCTCTCAGCCTTTCCTCAGAAGAAAAATACTCCAGTCCCCTAACCATAACCCCGCAGTCTACAAGTTCCACACAAGCTGAAATGGATAAGTGCTGAGCAGTGGTATGACATGGGAAACCAGCATGAAGCTGTATTTCCTGAATATCAGGAAAAGGTTCTTCAATCTGAGGGTGGCTGGGCACTGGAACAAGCTCCCCAGAGACGTGGTCACAGCACCAAGCCTGACAGAGTTCAGGAAGTGTTTGAACAGTTCTCTCAGTCATGTGGAGTGATTTGGGGATTATCCTGCACAGAGCCAGGAGCTGGACACTACTTGTGGGTTACATCCAACTCAGGATATTCTATGATCCTATGAGGATCTTTGTAGTCCCTCACTGGACCCTCTCCAGTAGTTCCATGTCTTAGCCTTCTGCAATTCGAGCAACATAGCTGGAGCACTTGTCAGTGAAAACTGAGGCAAAAAAATTACAGGGTACCTCAGCTTTCTTCATGTCCTGGGTAACCACATCTCCTGTTTCCTTGCACAGAGGAACCACATTTTCCCATCTTGCTTTTATCACAAACATACCTGTTGAAGAAGCTTTTCTTGTCCTTCATGTCTCTGGAGAGGTTTAATTCTATCAGGGCTTTAGCTTTCCTAGCCTTATCCCTGGCTTCTCAGACATTCTCTCTATATTCCTCCCAGGCTACCTGTACTTGCTTCTGCCCTTTGGTTTATGTCTGTCTGCAAGCTCCTTGTTCATCCATGCAGGCCTGGCATTTCTGCCTGACTTCCTTCTTGTTGGGACGCATGGTCCCTGAGCTTGGAGGAGGTGATTCTTGGATATTAGTGAGTTTTCTTGGGTCTTGCTCCCAGCCAGGGCTTTGTCCCATGGATACTTCACCAAACTGATCCCTGAAGAGTCTGAAGTCTACCCTCCTGAAGTCGAGGGTTTGTGCTTTTTCTTAGTGCCTTCGTGGCTGGAGTGATGTCTAGAGTAGCTGCGTTTCTAGCCAAGCAAAAATGGCCGTGTAGTGAAACATTACCCATGTGCACATAATCTCTTACAAGAACAATTTTTCCCATTCCAGCCACCAATACTAATCATGAATATTGTTTTGATGTTTTCGTCTTTGTATGTTTCTTATGTTTTACATCATCTTTTTCTATAGGTATTGCCAGGTGTCTGAAGTGGTTGACTAAGACCTAAGGATTTGGAACAGTGGTGAGTCAATGAAATTCTGATCATATTTTCTGTGTTTTCACATGCTGAAGTTTTACTACTGCAAAAGAAGGATGAAAGTTGTTCAGTAGTTTATACCTTTTGAATATTTTCTGCTGAGCACCAAGTTCCTGTCCAGAGCATTTAAGCAGAAATTTTAAGAAGGAGAGGAGGAGATGGTTTCATTGGCTGCTCTTGATAAATGAAGCCTCTCCTCATATTGCCCTGACTTTGAAAACACTTTAAAGTAACAGTTCTACCTGTACTTTTTGAAGTGGTAACTTCAAAAATTATATATTGAAATATATTAAAATGATAATTTTTGAAGGTAGCTTCAAAAATTATCGTATTAAAATAATGATGCCTGAATTGGCTTTTCAGAATAATGTAAATTTATACGTTTAGCAATTATAAAATGAGATACCATTTTAGAATAGATCATTATAGAATATCACTCTAGAAACCTGAAGTAAGTTAATAAATTACTTATCGAATTCGGCTTACAAGACAAATTATTTTTTCTTTAAACTGCAGTCTTTGTTTGTAGTTTCTAACTCCACCTCTGCGAACTGTGGTATCCTTTGTAAAGTTAAATTATTTTCCTGATCTCTTATGCTTATTGCTGATTCTTTGCATTGTGTGTGCCAAATATGTATCATTTTGACTAGAGAAGATTGCAAGAAGGATCTAAGAAAGAATTTTAAAAATTTAAAATACTTTAACAAGTGAGTTTTGTAATCTTTTCATAAATATATTATTTGCACTTCCCTGTCTATAGGTGTAGGCTGTCAAAGAGAGCCTTATAAACATGCAGATAAAATCAGTGTTACTTGTACTTAATAATTATATAATAGAAGAGAATCATAGAATCATTAAGATTGGAAAAGACCTCCAGGATCATTGAGTCCAACCTTCTACCAAATACCACCATATCAGCTGAGGACATGAGGCACCACATGCAGTTGTTTCATGAACTCTTCCAGGGATGGTGACTACCACATCCCTGTGGAACCCGTTCCAGTGCTTAACCACCTTTTAAGTAAAAAAAATCCTTCCTAATGTCCAACCTGAACCCTCCCTTGTTGCAGTTTGAAGCCATTTCCTCTTGTCACTGGCTGCCAGGGGAAAGAGACCAATGGAAGAAGAGTAAAATAATACTTCCAAAAAGCAACTGCTTTTTCTTATCAAGAGATGGTTATTTGGAATAATGTAATGTTTCTAGTTGTCTGGTTTCCATGGCAGAGCCAACTTATGTGAAATATTTCATATTTAAGGGATTTTGTTTGATTTCAGTGCTGTTGGCAGCAAATGTTTAGAACCCATGTATTTTGTTCCATGTGCTGTTTACTTTGGTGACCAATTCAGTGAGAAGCCTTTGCCTTAATTTTTTTGATTTTCTTTTTTTGCTGTAATGGCCTCTGAAAAGTATGTTTACTCTCCCTTTCAAAAATTAGCATTTAGTAACAACGTAGAAGGCATCTCAGTTTAGAATATTTGCATTCATGTAGGTCTGTATTTATTATGTCCTCTTTATTTCTGCTGGCATTTAACTAGAAAAACTAGATAAGTCAATTTAAAGTTTTTCAGTTAGTTATGGATAATTCTTTTTTGCCTACATTTTAATCTGCCCCTTGCTCCCATCCTCCACTGCCTGACAATTACCAGGACTAAACTGTTGTATCCATGTAATCATCAGTGCACAGATGGAATGAAAGCATTATAGACAGTTCATAAATCTATATTCAAGAAAAAAATACAGATATTCTTTTCTCCAATTTTGATGCTGTTTAAGAACGAGATGCTTAAGAATTGAAGAGACTCTTATTCAAACACATCTTATTAAATGCTTTTGAATTGCTTTTTGGATAGTGTTACAGATAATATAACTTACTTTATAATAATGTGCCTCAGACCAACTAAGGGGGGAGTCCTATGACACTTAACAACTGAACAGAAACACAGCATGTGCATTAATAATCAAACTTAAAAAACAACTTGAGTGACTGTTAGCAGCAGCAGGTGGAAAACCAGGATACAGGGTTAAGTGTAGTGGTGATGATAAAACTGCACAATGGAAAAGATTAACTGTGGGGATCTAATATGTTTAAATGAAAATTGAAATGATAACTTTTCCTTCATAACAAAATATGTAAATAATGTTGTCTCTCTTGTGAACACAGCAAAATCAAGTTGTCTGCATTTTATTCAAAGGCATTGCATAATTTGTCTTGGGGAAATGTTTGAAAATAGTTAAGCACTTATTTGCATAAAAATCTTCAGTTGTAGCAAAATAATTAATAAGATTTTTTACTGGAAGCAATAAATAAACAACTAAGATAAAACTCTAAAGGAGTAGATTACCTTCTGCTAATCTCTTAATAAAATTATCAATATTTTGCCTACTCTTTTGAGCATTTATATAGTTCCTCACTTGTGTGTGCTCCTTTTGTTGAAATATAAGTAGGATAGAAGCTTATTAATGCCTTTTATAATAAACATAATGGTTAGACTCTGAAATTGTATTAGGCAAGAAAGCACCAGTTATTTTTGTTTTCCATATAATATTAGGCAAAAAAGTGATTTCTTAGTGCCGGGGTGCTAAGATCCTTCCAGGACCTCACATCATGGGTGATGGTAATCCACACTCCAGTGAAATGACTCAGCAAAAGTAGATTTTTCCTGCATGCTGAGTCTAGTTTAGACAGCATGCAAAACTTTAGATAATATAACAGTAAACAAAAAGCTGAAGACCAAAAAAGTCCTGTGTATCTCTTTTTCCTAACACAAAACTATCACAAAAAAGTTTGCCCCATCCGGTGAACCCCCTGTGGAGCCCAACAACAAAAAACAAATACCCAGAATCTAAAATCTAATTCCAAATTTCACCTCACTTCCATTTTATAGAAACAAAAATAAAATTGGAATTCTTTTTTCCATTTTCTTTCATTTTGTCTGTCATTAGAGGGAATAAAGGACATGTTACTGATTCAGAAAAATATTACGTTTTCAAGTTTTTCGGAAGGCACTGGGAACTTTCAGGTGGAGTAGACCACATTGAACTAATAATTTGCTTATGGATTAGCAAATGCAATGGTTCATTTTTGTGTTATTATTAATGGAACCTAGTGTGGTTCTTGTCATGGAGATGGCGTATCACAAGCAGTGAGTAAATAGCAATTGCTGCTACAGGAAGAGGTGTGATGTAGTGCATAGAGCTGCCTGTCCCAACTCCTGCATTTGACTTCTGCCTTTGTTATTAACCTGCTAAGTCATATTAGGATAGGTAATGAATTTCTTACTTCTCTTGTCGATTTAGATTGCAAAACCTGTTGTCCACATAGTGAGGCTCTATCCTTGTCACTGTGCTTTGTTGTCCTGTGGAGTCCTTTATTTGCTATAGTATTACAATTTTTCCTCTGAGAGTTTCCCATTAGCTCTCAGAAACTCACTGTATTATATGGAATCCTGAAAACACTTGAATATTTCTTCAACAAGAAGAAAACTAGTAATGTTTTCCAGAGCATGGTTTAATATTGCATCTGGTCTTGTGCAACTCAGGCTGATGCCAAAAGGGATACTTCAGCCTGTTCTTTCCCTCTCTTGCATCAGCTCCCAGTCCCAAGGTGAGTTCAAGGTAAGCAGCTGATTCAGAAAAAAACCCCTAACTGCCAGTGAAGAAAAACTAAATCAGGAACCTATGCTGGCTTGTCCTGTGGTTGAGAAATTACTAGATGCAACAAAAGGGACAAAGCCACAATAAGCAGCTGGAAGTAGATGGGAAGAGTGATGCTGTTTCTTTCAGCAACAGGTAATAAATATACCAGATGAAACATAGCATGGAAACCTAGGCTTATTAAGAGCTGCATTTTACAGCCATATTTTGAACTCAACAGAAAAGTGTCTTATAATGGTTGTGGCAGCCTAGCTACAGTTCTGATTATATTAGTTGCTGGTACTAGGTGTATTTTTTTTCTAATACAACTTTTTAATTGTTTTTTTTTCCTAAAGTAACAGTTATCTTTGTTATATGCATTACAATTTCCAGACATATTTCTGATGCCTAAATATAACCTTTCATTTTATTTTAATTTGAACTGAAGTCAATTTAACCCTGCAAATTGGGTGACAGGAGCTGCTCTTGATGTGATAGTTTCTACAGACCTTATATTCATAATTTCCCCTTTAAACTCCATCAAGAAACTTGATTCGTCCTTGAAAATTACTTGTGTAATTGGAGTTGACTCTTTGACGGGCATTTTTCACTCACTGCCCTTTCTCTGAAAAATGTGCAAAACAGATTAAATTGGTTTCTTTGATCTTGCTTTCTTTGTGAGCCTCAGGTACTAAGATCTTATCTTGAAGGACCTGTCTTCCCCACTCACTGTAAGTTTCCATGAAACAAAAAAAGGGATGAACAGGACTAAGGAAGAGAGACATGAAATAATAATATGATTTTGGAAAATGGAGTGACTAACTTTAAGTGAGGAGCCTTTACACATGCTTGTGAGGACATGGATGTTTCCCGTCAGTTGCATTCATGGGCGAGGTTACTGAGTGAATGCAGCTAAGCAGGAGGAACAACAGTTCAGCAGCAGAAAAAGCAAGTGTGCCTCTGAGAATGCTGCAGCGAAACAGGGACCCTGGCTCTCAAGCATCTGTGAAACTGACCTAGCCAATGATGTTGCTGAAATTTCACATCTGTTATTTCTTACTGCCCACTTCTTTGGCAACGGCCAGTCTTCATTTTTTCCATTATAGGCAGCTGCTGGAACTAGAAGGAGCTTAAGCTTATTTTTCAGATGTGCTAAATAGACTACATTTTACCTTTATTCCTTCCCCCCCACCCTCTTTCTTCTACCACATACTGCAGCTTACTGACTTGTTTCCAAAGTACAGGATCTGTGAGTTGCATGCTCAACATGTGTCTGGAGATAAGCAGATGTGTTATCTTTGTGCATGCAAATAATTCTTTTAAAAACAGGGCCATCATGATGTCTGGGAAA